ACCTTATTTCAAATATCACTACCAATAACTGGTTTAGTTACATTTCTGTATTTCTTCTGCCCTAAAAATATCTCCATGGGAGATAAGAGAGGTGCTAGAACAACCAGATGGCACTTGCTTATATTTATAACATTTACATCTGGTGATAAACTACATGAAACATGATAAAAGATTAAGAAATGCCTGCACTTCAGTGAGGAATAAAGCTTTAAAACTAACTTTTGGAGGTTATATAGTAATCTCAGCTAATGGTTTGAGACATTAAAATGGATAATGCAATAATTGTCTGTAATTTGCAGGATGTAGTCCTAAAATACATGAGAAATGAGCTAGCTTAAGTCCTGATATTTGGTATATTTACACACATACATAAATATTGGCATAAAATAGTTCCATGATTACACAAACACATTTCTTTGCAGAATCAAGGTTTATTCAGGACTATTTCTCCTCCTACCTTATTGTGGAGCAACTAAGAAAAATAATACTTGAAAATTTACCAAAAAAAATCTTTTTGTCTTGGTTCTGCTCCTGCAATGGCTAAAGTAATTCCTTACATCCTGTGAGATTTTCTTTTTACACCTACCTCTAGGAGATTTGCACATATAAATACTATTAAAAGACATAACGTATTCTTCATGTTAACTGAGAAACTAAAAGCTACCAAAACCCAATGCCAGACATAACTGAAGAGATCCCAGATCCTCATCCACTGCAGAGAAACCTTTGTCACTTATTAGCACCACTTCCCTTCGGCAAGGTAAGAACTCCATGAACATTTTTTCTCTCAAAACCAGTAATACCTGGAATTTATTTGACTAATGGGGCAATATGACTAATGTAAGTATTTACACTTCAGGCTGTTACTCTTTCAGTCACGGGAACCCCTGTCCAGAGAATGATTAATCTCACTGGAAACTAAAATAAACCAGATAACCACACCCTAAAATTCATCTTTTGATATTTGCCCTAAAGAGAGCTCTAGAATACCAAGGCAGCTGGAGGATGTTTACAGAATAACATCCAAAAGTAAATGACATATTTTACACCAAGTTCCCTATATTCCAAGCTTTCAGCTGCTGTGTTACACGTTTTTTTCTGCAAGACAGAGGACCCCATAAAGAGATTTGTCTCCCATGAAAATATTTTCTTCCTGTTACTTTGCTTTAACACAAAAACTATCCTATTAGGGTTCCTGTAGTTCTGGGAAACAATCCTGTATTTCTTGCCATAAAACCATTCTTGTTTGTCAACTCACTGTCTGTGCTACGTACACCATGCTTGGGAGTATGACCTGCTGCTAGTGGTCACACCAATGCCAAACAGGGAAAGTAAGCAATCTCCCACATGACACCTGAAATTCCTTATATTATACAGTGCTAAATTATTCCTGTTGATTACTTCAGAGCTCAGGGAGTACATGCCTAGCTCTCTACCCATGAGGATCCTAAGTCTTTTTCACAATCACTGTCTCACAGCACAGTCCCTGTTGCTGTAAGCATCTTTCATTTTTACTTTTAGATCTGTGACTTCCAGCGAAGTAGCTCAGCTCTCCCTCATGGAAACATGGAGACACTGACTTGGGACCCCTGTATGGTTCAGGAAATGACGCCTCACTACCACTCTTCTCCTCTCATTTTCTACAGCTTTCTCCTGTCCATCTTCTTCAACCCTTTCCTGGGGCCCTATCAACGCAACTTCTTCTCCATTTCTGCTTTCATGCCCTGCGTTGTGCTTACACCTCTGCTCTCTTCACACGGGTAAGTTAACACTGCCTCATTTAAGCGGGATCATTTTTCACCCGATCTTGCTGCTCTCCGTTTCTCCTTTTACTTCATCTTCAAAGGCCACCTGTGAACTCCTCATTTCAAGCTCTGAAATCAGCTTCAGATCCACCTCCTTTACTCAAAAAGCTCTCACACGGCCTCAGTGACCCAATTCCGACATGAGCTCAGAACCAATGCTCTCCTGACCCCCGTGACACTGCCACCTTTTCCTCCTAAAGGGCCTTCTCCTTCCAGTTTGTACTACATCGATGGCAACTATTTATGACAACCAAAACATTTTCGTATTTCCTTGCTGCTCCTGGCGGGACACCTGCGATCCCCAGCAGGCTAGGGCTGAGGCATGAGGCTTGGGACTTTGGTCGAGGCGGTGATCAGAACCCCAGAAGGGCCCCAACCCGGGTGACTCTCCCGCCGCTTCCCTCACAGCGCTGCAGGGAAAGCAGGAGGAAACGCGTCCCCGCCTTGACCAACACCGGGCAGTGGCAGCCCCAAGCGCCGCGGACCTGGCGG